TATTTGTTATCGAATATTGTGGTGTTTATTCTTGAATATTGATTATGATCAAACCTTGATGAATATTCTGATTAAAATGATGATTATGAATTATTAAACCATGATTCGAAATGAATGGGTTGATGAGAAAAGATATGTCTTATTAAGGCTATCTAGAATACCTCTATGATAGACCTCAAATTAGAATAGGCCTTGCAATCAATATGTATTATTGGTGGCCTGGGAAAAAATGTTCGTATGGGATCCGCAAACCAAACTATAAGATCTTTCGTTTGGAGATACCACCCAACCCGAAAGTGAGCATTCCTCTGTTCGGTTTCTTGTGTACCTTAAGCTAAGACTAGTTTAAGAGTTGGAAAACTTTTGTACCTTAAACTGGATTAGCTTAAAAGTTGGTTAGTAGTACCTTAAACTAGAATATAGTTTAAGAGGTGGTTAGAAGTACCTTAAACTAGAATTCGTTTAAGAGTTGGTGAACATTAAAGAGATTGGCCTTAGACTAAAAATAGTTTAAAGATATTGTTGATACTATGAATGTTGAATATGAACATGAGTGTTGAATACTAAAAGTTGAATATTGAATATGATTATCCGAACTGAACATTTTGTGCATGAAATCAAATGATTTGATTATGAATTGAGATTTAATTTATATGGATGTTTGATGCATTAGATATCCTTGTTTAGCTTCAACGCTAGTGTGTATTATTTTTTATTTGCTACACGCAGATATATAATTCTATTTGTTATTTCCTTATCAATTTGTAAATAAAATTATTTTAAAATTCAAGGGGTTTCGCACGTCGATCAAAGAAAACACTCCCTCCATCCTTGTGTATTTGTCTACTTTTAATTTTTTCAATCAAAATTGGTCAACGTTGACCTCAAAGTTAGTAAAAATGATACTAGATTTTGATACAAAACTAGTTTTATTAGATTTATTATATCAAATATTTTTTAAAATATTATTTTATCTATTAATATACAATAAATATTTTATTTAATTAAGGTCAAAAGTTGAAACGGTGGACTAAACCACTTTTGAAGTTTGAGCTACAAATCAGCGTACGTTTTGCCTAGGTATAATTGTGTTCGAGGTACTTCCTGTGTCCCAATGTAATTGTCCAGTTTGATTTTTTTGAGTCAAACTGGACAAACTTTGAGCTTCAAATAAATAAAAATCGTAATGTATTTTAACATAAGAATGACTTTAGGTAGTGTTTGGGAACTAGATTTTATTTGAAATATTAGATTTCAATTCTAAGATTTGAAATTCCCTAATTTCAAATTCCAAATGTTGTTTGGGAAGTCACAGAATTTTAATTCTAAAATTTGAATTTTGAAGTCGGCAGAGACGATAACGAAAGACTGGAAAGAGGGTTGATATGTATGCAATTGTTACTCCCTCCGTCCTAAAACTTTCTTCCCAGAGCACTATTCCAACTTCACGGGAATTTATATTTATTTGTCTTTTTTCATGGCCTATATGATAAAATAAAATATTCTTGTCACCACTTGTTTTGTTGAACTTTTGATGTAGTTTTTAAATATGTATGTTTTATTTTTTATTTCTATACCAATATTTAAATAAAATAGATTGAAAAAACTTGAGATTTTTCTTCGTTTTGCGAACCAGGAAGAAAGATATAGGACGGAGGGAGTATTATATAAAGGGAGATCTATTTTTAATTACAATTTTTAAATTAGAGAAAAGTTGAATTTGTATTTGTAAATGACATGGTGATGGGTGTGGATTTGTATTTGAGTTAGCTTTGAATTAGAAGAATTTGGTCCAAATCCAGATCGAAATTCTTTGTGTTTCCAAACAAGTAATTTAGATCAAATCTGAATTTGAAATCCAAATTTAAGTTCCCAAACACACCATTTGAATTTATCGTATTGAGAACTTTCAAAATTGTATTTAATAATGCTAATATGCAATATAAATTGAGAGTTATTGAAGTTTAAAGTTTATCCAGTTTGACTCGAAAAAATCAATCTGGACAAATATACTAGGACAAAGGTAGAACAAGTTTTGGGCTATACATACCTTAATTCAAACAACCATGTTAGGGGTACACCAAAAGTGTACCCCAAAGAAATACACCGACATTTTAACGGTTTAAAAAAAATGTTAGTTCAACCAAAAAAATTTGTACTGATATTTTTTGTCAATGTAAACCATCACACTAATATTAGACTAGCACAAAATGTCCGTGCATGCCTTTTAGATATGGAGTACAAATTTTGGGGTGCATGCCTTTCGGATATGGAGTACAAATTTTGGTATAAAAATAGATGAGTAAATTCCATTTTTGATCCTTTATAACAGGGAGGTTTCCATATTTAGTCCTCTATTATCAAATATTACGATAATGATCCTTCTTTTATGGGTATCTTTCCAAAGATAGTCTTTTTGTTGATCTTCTATCATGTTGGTGTTAATTTAAAGGCTAAAAGTGTAATTTCACAAAGATAATATATCTTTTTTGTCATACACAATTCCAAAGGTTGTTCCGTTTGCATCGTTTGTGAATTACAGACACTTGCTACTACGATCATAGTTTACAAATGTGGTCTTTCGTCGGAATCCAAGCATACAATCATAGTCATTATTTTTCTGTAATCCGCTTAACCAATATCAGAACACGTCACTAGACATAATGTTGATGTCAAATTGTACTTTTAGCTTTTAAATTAACACCAACATGGCAGAAGATCAAAAAAGGACCATTTGTAGAAAGACACTCTTAAAAAAAGGACTACGGGGTAATATTTAATAACAGAGGATTAAATATGGAAACCCCCTTATTATAAAGAACCAATTATGGAATTTAATTATGGAATTTACTCAAAATAGATTGAATTCAAAATGAAAATGAGCTTGAATTCTTGAAAGGACCGTGCTACACACCCCACCCTTGCTACCAACCTTGCCTCCACCCACTTCTCCACCACATATTTATCTCAATCCATTCTCCATCCACACTCTAATTTTAATTTTCTTGCCTCCTTACCACATGTTTATGTAGAGGGGTATGATTGGTAGCAATGGTGGGTTTTTTTTAGCATTTTCCTTCTTGAAAAATGTGGAAGTGATTTGGAAGTCCGCGCACGTTTTGCCTAGGTATCTAGGGATTCTAGGCATGCAGCAAACTGTTCCACCTTTGCGGCTTTGCTCTCATTGCTTTTTTTTTTTTTCTTTTGATTATATTGAATTTTATCAATCTCAAGTCAAGTCAAAATCTCTTCGCGCAAATATCAACAGTGAGATGGAGTTGGGGGCTCAAGCGGCAAGGGTTGATTCCCCGAGCAGTCAGATTCCGGTAGAGGACGATGAACCTCTGCTACTCTCCGACGACGTCAAAACCGGGCTTGTGCTCATCGACATCGTCAATGGCTTTTGCACCGTAGGAGCTGGAAATCTGGTAAATACCTTAAATCATCATACTTCCGTCCCAAAATAAACTTCATGTCAAATTAAATCTATCGATTAATTCACTTTATGTCTAGAATTTGTAGTTATAAGTGATTGTGTACATTCACTGCATCTATGTACTAATGCCCAGGATTCATAATCCTTGGCTTCTTTTGATCTACTAGAACAGTAAATTGTGAAAAGAGGTTTATCTGATCAGATGTTTCTGTTTATTTTATTGGAATTTTTTATGCTTCTTCTTCTTCAGTATTGATTGCTTGTAATGTTGCTACACGTCCCTTTCTGTGTGAATGTATGTTATGTTCCCTCTAGGCTCCACAAAAACATGATGAACAAATTGCTGGAATGGTGGATGAATCAGTGAAGGTTGCTAACCTCTTCTGTGAAAAGAAATGGCCTATATTTGCTTTCCTTGACTCTCATCATCCTAACATTCCTGAGCACCCATATCCTCCTCACTGCATAATAGGAACTCATGAAGCTGAACTGGTTCCTTGTAAACTCTATCTGCCTATGGTTGTGATCCTCCATATTGTGTCTAAACATTAATTTCATATAACATGTCTGTTTTCAAATGATGTGCAGCTCTGAAGTGGTTGGAGAACGAACCAAATGTTATCATCCGCCGCAAGGATTGTATTGATGGATTCATAGGTTCTCTAGATAGAGATGGCTCCAATGTATTCGTGAATTGGGTGAAAAGCAATGAGATCAAAGTTGTGAGTATTTTCTGTGCATTTGAAAGCAGAAAATCTTTTTCTCCCTGACCACTTATTTATCGACGCGAATCCTTTCTAATAGCGTGTTTTTACCAAGGTATTGGTCCTAGGAATATGCACAGACATATGTGTTCTAGATTTTGTTTGTTCTGCCTTGTCTGCAAGAAATCATAGGATTCTCTCCCCACTAGAGGACGTGATAGTATATTCACGTGGATGTGCTACTTATGATCTTCCAGTGCATGTTGCTAAAAACATCAAAGGTGCCCTGGCTCACCCACAGGTACGCTAAGCTTAATCTCAGTGGTTGAAAAGGCCAAGACATATTTAAGTTTATATTGCCACTTGAAGCTCTAAATCGAAGGTGCCTTGGCTGATCAAAACATAGTTAATAAGATCAGTTGCATTGGTTATGTTTTGCCATCGTTATATTCTTCGTTGCCTAAGGAAGGAACATGTTTTAGTTTCTTCTTCCCATTAACAAATTGAGTTCTTCTGTAAAGTTAATTGTGCATTGTAGGAGCTGATGCATCGCATAGGGCTGTACATGGCAAAAGGAAGGGGAGCAAAGATTGTATCAGAAGTCTCATTTCATAAGTCAGATTAAACCTGATTTTCAGTTATACAGGAATTCAGTTTCACTTAATGGAAGAGTACCTGATCTTCTGCTGTTGGACAAAACTACAGATGTTACAACAGTTCTTTATTTTGTCCCTGTCTATTTAAAAACATGATATGATGTATAGACACATCCCTATGTTTGCTTGGTAAATGTATGGAGAAATTTTACCCTTGAATAATACTGTATATGAGATTATGAGAATTAAAATGTGCTTCTCTAATTAGTTCATGTCAGTGCGAATATTGTGGAAATGTGGAATGTTAAGAATGCAAACTCTCAAAAGTGTTACCTAATCTCACTACAGGAAAACCTTGCTGTTGACATTTTCAGTATCTAAATGTGTTTGAAATTATGAAAAAGAGAAGGAAAAGTTTCAGTAAAGAAACAACTGATTTCCCATTTGTACATAATGCAAGGCTCCACTAGCAAAATGAGTTTGTGGAGGCTAAAAGTGAACAGACCAAAGAGCTAAAGATCTATAACAGCTCTCAAGACCTGGTACTTTTTGTTCGGGTGAATGCATGAAAAAACAGATTTCTTGTGCTTCTTTGGCTTGTTTCCGAAAATGAATGACCCCAGAGGAATTTTCGATCGACTCGCTGAATGTTTCAGTTGTGGGTTTCCTCCAGAAAGACCAAATTCGTGTCCCAACTTCTTTAGTGTCTTCTCAACTTCCAATTGAAGTATGGTTACATGATCCACGCCTGCTTGCAGCTCCTCTCTAACTTTGTTGTTTTCTTGCTTCATGTTCAGGACCTCGCCTTGGAACTTAGCAGCTTGATGACTGCTGAATTGGATCTCTTCACCTTCCACTCCTTCTCTTAGAGCTATTGTGATTTCCTCCTGAATGTGGCACAAAGATGACGATCTGCGTTTCAGCTCATCCTTAAGTGACCCGCTTTGGTCTAGCCAGACGGTCAGTTCAGTGTGTATCTCCCTAAGGTGTTTGAATATGGGTCGAACCTCTGATCTTAGATCCTGTGAGTGGGCACTGTTTTCTTGTGTCTTCTTTTCTTTGACTTTCGATAACTCATGCTGCAGATCTTGAACCGTTGTCTTGAATTTCTGTATCTGATGAAAGGAAGAGCTGAACCTCAACCAGAAATCCAAGTTTTCGTCTAGTATTGCATCAATTTCCCCACGTAGCTTTTCTTCAACAGGTGAGATGTGAACAGGTTTGTTAATCAAGGCGGGCAACATGAATCCATCTTCGTCATCCTTTGTCTGAGGTCTCTCTGAATCTTCTTCCCTTGCTCTTGAGGACTCTGTTCTTGATTCTTGTTCTTTAGCCGTACTTTCGTTTGGTTCTTTGTTTTCAGCACCACCATCTGGTGACAGAGAAACATTCACCCTCTGACGCAACTGTTGTATTTCTTCATCCCTCTTTGCGATCGCACTTTTCAACTCGCTGATCTGCAAAGTGAATTCAAATTCATTGTCTCTATCTTTCTTCTCTATCTCTGTCAACTTCTTCTTGAGCTCTTTGTAATTCCTGAGAACTGTTGTATATTCTTTTAGTATAGCTTTTTCTTTGTCCCCCATCCCATTCAACAGCATCTCCCGCCAGTTTTGCTCATCATCCTTATCCAAGTTTATATTCAAGACATTTTTCAACCCATTATCTTCAGACCCAGGCGAACCACTTGTCTTGACCTTCTGTGCTGGGGTTCTGGCCACAGACGACAAATGTTCGCTTTCAGACTTAACACCTTCTTCCTCTTCCTTTTTGATAGAAACTGTGTTTGGAGCTATACTAACTTCTTCCCCTTCTTTTCTTTCAGTGGAAGTGGAGTTTAAGGCACATGCACCAGAATCTTCTAGAGTACTGTCTGGTTTTCCCCCCATGTTTTCCTTTGGTTGGAACTCAGTGAGAGATTCAGCTTCACTCTGTGGCGAATCTGTACCCTCAAGCTCCTCCTCGTCTTCCTCTTCCTCATCCGGTTTCACATTTTTTAGTTTCTCAGACAAATGGTCGAGATTCCAACTTGCCTCGGCAATTTGTTTCCGAAGGCTGCTTCTTTGCTTTTCAAGGCCTTGGTTTAGATTCTGAATGTCCTTCCATTTCTTCTCCATCTCATTCACTTGATTTTCTTTAGCGGTTTCTGTCTTATCGTTCTCCTCCTTCAAGGTCCCGGCCTTTGTTTGAAAATCATAGGCTTCCTCTTTCAATCTGTCAATTTCAAGTGTTTGAGCAGAGATTGTGTTTTCCAGGTCTACTACTTTGTTCACAAGCTCATCAATCTTCTCCACTAGTTCAGTAACAGTCAGAGCTCCCATGGAGTCCCCACAATCTTCCATGGCATCACAACAAACTTCTTGACTTGAGCTTCCTGACTCGCTACTCCTCTCATTCCATTTCTCATCACTTTTTTGAGGGTTTCCCAGCCCAATGTGAGCAGCATAACAATCCCCAATCTTCTTGTACTCCTCTCTTGCCTCCCTTGATGCTCTCTCCTGCCTCTCCTGCAGCTGAGCCAGCGTCTCCCTGCAAGATTTCAGCGCCGTTTCGGCCATCAAAGTGCGTGCCACGTCATCCTCAATGGCTTTCGTCACCCCAAACTCGTCCTGCAGGGCACACACCCTCTGCTGCATCTCTGAGATCTGGTCCTCAATCGCCCTGCACTTGGCAAGCCCACTCTGGTAAGAGCTCTTCACAAACTCTTTCGCCGTTTGCAGCTTCAGAATGTCCTTCTGAAGCCTGTCCACCTCCTCAGTCGCCTGCGTGATGGTGAGGCCGGATTTGGGAGGAGCCTTTTTCGCAACCACCACCTCCGCCGGTTTCTTGGGCTGCAGCTTGTTGGGGACAGTGGCTGTGGTTATGATCACTTTCAGCTTCTTCTTGCTGGGAGCCTTTGGGACATTCTTGGGGTTCTGGCGAGGGGTGTTCTTGCGTGGAGGGGGCTTGGGGGACCCGTATTCGTCGTCTTCGTCCATGTCCAGCTGGAACTGCTCAGGACAGAGAGTGGCGAGCGTGTGGTTCACGCTCTGCAAATCCTTGGACAGCTTGTCATACCTCTCAGCCAGGGATCTGAAACCTCTGTAAGATTCCTCCACAAAGTTTATGAGCTCTGGTCTTCTCTTGTAGTACATCTCTGCTCTTTTTGCAAATGAATCCCCATCTTCTTGGATCAGAACAAGCATGTGCTGCACCTTTTCCTCCATATCTGCATTCATCTCATCTAATATCAACCATGGGAAGACATGCATAAAATTATGTATGCATTTCACCTTTTTTTTTCTCTGGATTACACAACTTTTTGTGTCTGTCACTTCCATCAATGTACCATATAATTTTAACTCAATTAAATATCAAAGGCTAATCATATCCTGGTTGATTATAAAAAATTAAATTTCGACAAACATTCTGAGACAAAAAGAGTATGATTCAAAAAATTTTGGTCCCCTTAACGAAAACGCCTATCGATTAGTTGAGATTTATTTGGTCCTATAAGAGGGTAAATCGTAAGCGCTTAAGAAAATGCAAGGCAAATGCAAGGAATTTTTTTTATTATAGAATAGACATACCTTGTAGGCTCTCTTCAAGCCATTTAGATTGCTTGGTCCTAATGTGGCTTGCCCACCACCATGAGTAGGCATTGCTTGCGGCCCTTTGTAACATATTGATCTTCTCCTCAATATATAATCTTCAAATAATTTCTTTCTCCTTTTTATTCTCCCTTTTCAATATTCTGAATAAACAATAACTTACAAATTAATGAAACCAGCGGCCGCATAAAAATTAAATAAGAAAGAAAACAGGTTGAAGAAATAAAAAAATATTTTTATTCAATACACTATTATATCTAGCATTCATTCATGTATAGGACATTTTGTAAAAGGGGTCGCACGGTTTTCATGTGCTATCATTATTGTAATTATGTGCATACATATATACTCATAGAACTGATTCAATAAAATATCATTTCTCATTTTTTCATATCGTGGTCCTAACAGAGATTTTTCTCCTCTTCTTCTTTTGGCTATGGCTCCATGCCACCTTCGACCACTCTTGCTTCTTGATATGATCTTAAGAAACGATAAATTGTAAGCGCGAAAGAAGGTCTAACGCAACTAAGAATCCGCGCGGGGATTTTAAAGAATATATACCTTGTAGGCTCTCTTCAAGCCATTTAGATAGATTGCTTGGTCTTAATGTGGCTTGCCCACCCCCATGAGTAGGCATTGCTTGCATCCCTTTGTGACATTATTGATCTTGTCCTCAATATTGTTCTTCATATAATTCTTTTCCCTTTTTTATTTTTTATTTTCCCATTTCAATCTAAATAAACAAGAACTTTTAAAGTCATGAAACCCACGGCTCCAAAAAAACCAAAGAAGAAGAAGAAAGAAAAAACTTGAAGAAATTAATAAGATCATTAAGAAATCCAAAAAAAGAAAGAAAAGTTCAAAAGTTTTGTTTTGGGGACATGAAAAATAGTGATGGTGGAATGCGGTCAGCCAGTAAAACTACGTACGGATTCTTGAGGGTTAATGGTGTGGAGTAATCTTTGCTCCATAAGATGGATTATTATAAAAATGGGTGGGCTGTATTAGCAATGATAAAAGTAATACTCATAATTAAATATTATTATGCAATATTTTATTGAAAGAAAAGACAAATAAAAAATGTTTAATAAGATTCTCTATTCAACTTTACTCGTTGTAAACAACGCTGGCCTAAGGGTGGACCAAGGTGCCCTACCAATCTAGACCCATTTTTTTCAGGACTCGAACATTTTTACTATATAATAAAAAATTTAAACAATTAAATTTTTAAGGTAGCTATTATTCCTATTATGAAATTTAATTATAATAATACAATTTTGTTATGTGCATTACTATAATATTAATTATTATTTTAAAAAAATGTATACTCTCTCTGTTCTTGAAAATACTTTTGTCCTAATTTTTTGCGCACCCCATAAAATACTTTTACCCTACCTAAAATGTGTAAAATACATCCAAAACAACTTTTACGCGCAATAAACTACAAAATGGGATGTATTTTAGACATTTTAGGTGAAAGTAAAAGTATTTTATGAGGTGCGCAAAAGAATATGGTGGAAGTGTTTTTAAGAACGGAAAGAATATAATTTAATTTGTTCAAGCCAAGGCCTATATTTTCGTATTTTCTAGGGCCATCGTATCCTTAGGATCGGCTTTCTTGTAACAAAAAGCTATCACATAACCAAAAGTGCATTTCCACAGCAAAAAAAACAC